ATTGTAGAAAACTGGTATAAGACCTTCAGGGTTTATTTCAAATACAGATTGAAAATACGGGTTTAGAATCAAACAAAATTACATGTTGGTCTTCTGTAATTGTGTCTTGATCAAGATTTAGTGAGCGAATATGGTTATGTATTTGCATTGTATGATTTACATAGACATGCAGTTTTTTTGGATCAACTTTAAAATCACAAGCGATATTCTTTTCATGTTTTAAAACCGCTGCTTTACATAAACTACAAACAATTTTATGAGTTTTTTTACCAGCCAATATGTTTTGACACAACAATCTATGTTTTTTGGATAGCGCCTTTTTGACTATATCTGTAACCCAGCTGTCAAGGAATGTGTGGTCATGCTTTATTAAATGTGTGGTCATGCTTCATGCTTCAACTGATTCATTGTATTGATCAACAAGCAAATTTTATTTTTCTGACTCTTTTTTAGTACATTTACGTCGTGATTCTGGGAGCGGTAAATACATCCTAATGGTAGTGACTTGTTACTGGCTCGTATATTTAGCCATTTTGCTTAATGAAAGTAGAGTTGAGTTATGTTTGCATAACATCAGTCGTTTTGATGGGTTTTTAAATAAACATCGCTACTCTTCCTCCATGTTTGTAAAGCCACATTTTATAATGGAGGTGGTACCCTGCTACAGAAGTGTCTGATATATTAGTAAACCAAGTTTCTGCAATGAATATAATTTGCGATAGAAGATTTGTTTTAGTATCCGCAATGCGAGCCCTCAGTTCATCAATCTTTTTCGGTCTTCTCCGAAAAAGATGTTTTTATACTTTATGTCAGTTCTCTTGTAGTGCCAAGCAATAGAGAGAAATTTAATCTCTTTAATCTGATTTTCAGGCTTTTCGATAGCAACATGTAGTAGACGAAATTTTTTTAAAATAGGTGTTTTTGGTTTGATGAGTGGCTTTCGTACTTTTTTTATATTTAACGGTGGTTAAATTTAAAAAAATCACTTGCAGTTATTTTGCATTCAACGTGGCAGACGTGGCGCAGTAGTTACACATTTGCCTCAGAAACAAAGGACCCGTGGTTCGAACCCGTTAGGGCTAGGGTCAGGGTTAGGGTTACATTTATTTCACCAAATTTGTTTACGTCCACTTCTGGAACAACCATAACCACCTTGTCCAATTTGTAGATATGAAATACATACAACTGAAAAAGGTGAAAGAAAACATTATGTTTTATTTTCATCGAATGATAGAAGAAGAGTTATTGAATATGCTGAGCAAAATGACAACTAAGTGACTCTGGCGCAAACTTTGCTGTCATCACCACAAACGGTTGATGCATCAAGGATGAAATTAATATATAACAGTAACAAATATATAGCGTAACAGTATTTAAAACATTTATAACTTTCCTATAGTTGTAATATGATTAACATACGTTTAGCTGGCTAATTTTTGACCGCATACTTGAATTATTATATGGCTTGTGGGTATATAAAAACTAAAAATACTGATATTTAACTTATATATTATTCTTGCCATTTTCACTTATTATCATGATCAGTCAACTATCTATTAAAAAAGCAAAATAATTATTAATAAAAAAAAGATATATTAATATTATAGCAATTATTTTAGTGATTCCTGTGACAACAATTTTAGCAATTGTGTAAAAAAGTAATTTAATTTAAAGTAATTTATTTTTTTTTTTTTTTTTTTTTTTTTTTTTTTTTTTTTTTTTTTACAACTTCAATATACACTTCATTACGTTACAATTCTATCATATAATTTAATGCAAAGAGTAAAATATATAACATAACATAAGAATACGTAATTTAACAATTATTATTAAATATAACGTTAGATTAATAAACACTGTTTTTTTTTTAAATAAAAACTATTGTTTCTTCAAATATAAACATGTTGTTGTAAAGGAGACTCGCAGAAGACTATGAAGTCTTATCATCAAGTACCTTTTCAAATGGTTAAATAAATTTAATTAATTTTTATATATAATTAAAAGTGGTTAAACAATACACAGTCAGTGATACACATAAACATTTTAGTATAAATCTTGTTGTTAAGTTTAATACATGTAAATAAAATTTTTGATATTAAGTATGAGGTGTTTTAATTTTTTTTTCAAGGTGGCAGAATTATTTAATGCTTTAAGTTCTATATTTTCGGATATTATTTTGTTATATAGGTACGGACCCCGGTAGGAAATAGAGAATCGTGAGAACTTTGTTGTTTTTTTTGGTAATGTGAAGTTCCCTGTTGCTCTTGTGGTATATCTATTAGAGTTAATTTGAAAAAAGTTATCTAAAAAATGCGATGGGACTAGTCCAAGATTGTATTTAAGCATGAAAAAGAATATTTTGATAGATGTTGATTTGGTAAACATTCAGTACATTTAGGGTTTTTAGTAAAGGTTCAGCATGGGTGAGTTTATATTTATTATAAACTAATCTTGATGCATGTTTTTGACTTAAATAAAGAGTATTTAACTTGGATTTGTGTGTACTTGCCCATGCAATATTAGCGTACGTAAGATAACTTTGGATGTAAGAAAAATAAAGAGATTTAAGATTATCTTGGGACAACATAGGTTTAACTTTGTAAAGTATCCCAATATTTTTTGAAATTTTGGTGTTTATTGTACTAATATGGGCTCTCCAAGTTATATTTTCGTATATTATATTATAATTTACACTTTACATTATATATATTATAATTTACACTTAAAACTTAAACAAATTATTGAAAATAATAAAAACTATGTTTTTACTTTGAATATACGACATCTACTTAACGCGTAATGACAAAGCCGTCAAAAAGAAATCATAATGACATTTTTATAAACAGGTCTCAGAAAAGACGTCTTTTAGCCTTGATCTAGACGTCTTTTAATGCGTCTTTTAGACAATTTATTATGCGTCTTTTAAACGTCTTTTTAAACTTTAAAAAGACGCATTTTAAACGTCATTTTAAAAACGCCTTAAAAAAAGACGTCTAGAAGATGTCTTAAAAATTGACGTCTTCTAGACGTCTTTTTATCTTTTAAAAAGACGCCTTTTAAACGTCATTTTAAAAACGCATTCATAAAAGAGGTCTAAAAGATGTCTTCAAAACGTCTATAAAAGTGCGTCTTTACCTAGACTAGTTTTAGACGTCTATAAGTGTCTAAAATGCGTCTTGTGCTTACTGGGTTACATCATACGATTTCTTATTTACAACTTTCATGTTCTAAATTACATCTTACGTTTCTCAATTACAACTTTCATCTTCTCGATTACATCTTACGTTTCTTAATTACAACTTTCAAGTTTTCAATTATATATTGAAAAAGTGTAGAAAAAAAATTTGGTTTTAAACATTTAAAAGACAACTTTTCCTCACCAATTTTTTATAACTTGAACGTCTTATTTAAGACTCTTTAGAACGCCTTAAAAGGTCGTAGTTTAGCATATATTCTTGAGTTAATTTAAAACGCGTCTATACAATTATATAACCCCCGCTGGGTTTATATACAATTATACAATTGTCAAAATATTTATTTTTGTCAAAACAAAAATAAACTATAAACCTAAATATGGTCTTATTCAAGAACTACATTTTACGACAATCTTTGTAAAAAAAAAAGAATGCAATAACAGTTTAATTTAAACATTTTTTTTAAAGTTAAAGTTTTAATAAATGTTAGAATGCACATAAAAAGTCAATTCGACAATTTTAATCAAACTTTTAGTGAATAGGTGCCTTTTATCTAAATTGCTTCCGCTTTTTTTTTCCCTTATAACCAGAGGTCTTTAAGTTTTCATATTTCTTTAATACCTCTGAATCTAACGATATTGAGGGACCTTTCACGAATCTCATCTTTTCTGGATCGCTGTTTTTAACTATCTAAAAAAAAAAAGTATAAAATAAACAAAAAAATTTCTTTATTGTAAATAAAAGTATAATGCTTTAAATATTCAAAGACATCAAAATTATTATTTTAGTTACTATTTGAAATATTGTAATTATTATTATTATATAATTTTTTTCATATGTTATTATATGATTAAATATGCTTACACTTGCTTGCTTACAAAATGTAACTTTTGCACACACACACACACACACACAGACACACACACACACATTTAATTCTAGATTAAGTAAAATTTGAGTAAAATCCTATAAATGGAAGTTTATAATATCTTATATAAGGATTATCTATGCTATTATCAATACTATTTATGAGCACCTTTCAAGTGACAAACAATCTGATGTTTATCGTTATAAACATTAGATTGTTTCTCATGTTGTTTCTCAAAACAACATTAGAAACAATCTAATGTTTATTGTTATAAACATTATATTATCGTTCAAAAAATATGACTATATTAAGTTATAAATTTTTAAAAAATAATTGGATGAAGTTTAAAATTAATTGATGATATAATTTTATTTGAGAGTAGTAAAAGAAATATTTTATTAACTAGTTGCTCTTGTGTTTGGAACAACAAGTTAATAAAATATTTCTCTAGAAGCCAAAGCCGTCTTTAAACCTTGGGTCTCTATTTCTAAAGCTATATCTTTAGAAATAGAGACCCAAGGTTTATATCTTTAAAAAGTGCTACACCAATGAATTTCATGTTGAAAGAAGACACATTTACCGTGCCCAATCATTCAGCTATACTAAACTTCAGTTTGTCAGTAGCAAGTCAGCACATATGGCATCTAAAGGTAGCAAAATCAATAAATTGATAGTGCAATTTATGAAAAAGTTAAATTTTTTTACACAGATTTGTATCCTTTGAAGTAAATAACCGCGCAGGTTATATATAAAAATTGATAGGCTTGTAGGTTCTCAAAAACACTTTGATCTATAAATATTTAAAAACTAGACTTTCAAATCGCCTTGAACTCTTTTTTCATTATGTGTAGCCAACTAAGGTTGACGGAGTTTTACATTGTATGGCAGCAGCTTTATGTCTGTAAATGCATTGGTGACCCTGTACTTGCTCTAAAATAGCAATGTCTAGTTCCCTTTATGAGGAAAAAAGTTGGATAGCACACTTTAACACAGGTCTTATGTAATTGTAAAGAGTAAATTCTACAAAAAGATTTTTTTTAAATAAGCAACTTCTGGAAACTTCCCTTAATTTTAACTAGTTTACTGTATGCTATTACCTCTACTGATTTAACTTGATATCTTGTTTTAAGATTTTCTGATAGTTCTCTCAGATTGCAATTGCACTTAATGACGCCCATTTGAACTTAAACACTGTTTGAGATACGCCTTGATGCGTTGTTTTGAATAGACTTTGAGTTACCACGTCTAACATTGTTTTACAATCATTAAAGTTGAGAGGCGTAATTGATTTTTGCGATTACTCGATTAGACTTCCATCTTCCAGGGTACTTTTAAGCTTTTCGGATTTTATAACACCAATCATTTTGCAATCGTCTGTATTAATCTTGATGTTATGTGTATTATAGTCCTGTAGATTATTTATAAATAAAACAATCTTGTAATTTATTCCCGGTCATTAATTCCCAGACTCTCTGAATCCATTATACCTTAATGCTTTAGCGGCTAGAATAATAATTAATTTTATTCAAAACATATATTAAACTATATATTTTTTCAGATTTTGAATAAATAAAATCTTAATTTTAAATAAATTATATTTTGAATAATCTTAATTTTTATATTTATAACAAAATAACTAATATTAATATTAACAAAATAAATAATATTTATACGGGTAAATGGTTGTTAAAAACAAGTGACACAGGCGCCACTGATTTTAACATCTAATATATAATATATATTTCTTGGGTTTCCGGTAATTAATAAAAAGAATTACATAAAAAGTATTAATTTTGTAAAAAAAAAATATATATTAAGAATAATTTTATAAAATGGACTTTCTCAAAAAAAATATACATGTTTTGCAATCAAGTCTAATCAATTTCTTATTTCTTCTTGAATGATTTTGAAATGTATCTTTTTTTCGGAATCCCTAAACAATTAGGCTTCTTTTTACGTAACCACGGTAACATAATTTGAGTATAACACTTTTTTAATTATTAATAATTTTTATAACACTTTTTTAAGCCCCTAGGAAAAGAAGGGTTGTTTCATCTAAAAAGTTTATACGTTTATTAAGCACATAAAGGGCATTTTTAAATCATAATAGGGAACATCCATAAAGTATTTACGCAGTAAAACCAAATATTTAAAGATCTCCACCCCACTTGTGCGCACCTTTATGTTTTTAATGACCCCCTAATCTCTGCGTACTTACGCATTACTTATTTCAAAATTAACTCTCCTCTTTATATAATGCAATTTTTCTAAATATTGAAAATTAAATTATTCAAGTCGACTTTTCTTTGTTACATAACATGATATTAATTTTCTAATCTTTAGAGCAGCCGTAGCGCAGTGGTTACCACGCATGCCCCAGAAGCTAGAGATCCGTTGTTCAACGCCACCTCTGAGCCAGTTGTATAGTATGGGTAAAGAAGGAGGCGTGAACTTTCACTTAAATGCTCTTCCGCGGTACTCTGTGATAAGACCGTATATGGTACCTGAAATATAAATATATGTAAAAAATTTCGTGAAATTCAATGCTATTGTTTAAAAAAGAAATCAAGTTTGAGGCAAGATAGAAAACGAGATAAAGACAGTCTAAGCGTGTACGTACTCGCTGTCTTTAACACACACACACCCCTCTTTCTTGTATTCATGCGTTTTTAGGATAACCCTTTCGCCATTATTGGTTACCATTTTTGAAAAACAAAAAGCCTATGCAGAAAGTTTTCAAAGTTAAAGAAAAAGAAAATCTTTACGAAAAGAATCCTTACTTTGTTTTGTTTTAGAGTTGTTTAACAAAAAATAAACAATAATTTAATAAGACTTGATAAATTACAATTAAAAGGAGAACGAAGGTTCAATCAAAAGTTTAATAAGTTGTTAAGTATTAATTTTTGTAAATATTTAGACTAATATTTGTTTTTTATATAACATTATAACGTCAGCATTTAAAGACAAAAACATAAATATTTGTATACCAGAATATATTGCTTTACCGTAACTTTCTCTTCAATGCACAGTTTGAAGTTAAAGTAACCACAAGTTGATTTTATGGCTTTTCTCTGTGAATTTACATCAATCGTATTTATTAAAACTACTAACAGAATTCCGCTGACCATCATTTCCGCAAAATATATCGGGCTAAAAAAACATGGCAAATAATTTCAAACATGTTTATATTGTTATACAATTTGTATTATAGTATTATATAATATATATTTAAAAAAACAACAAATATAAAAATATACTTATTTAAATAATTTTGTTTTTCTTCAAGTTTTTTATGAAGTAAATATGCTTTATAGGAACTCGTTTCTGGGTATAGATTAATAAATCTATAAACAGAATTTCAAACTTAAAACAATAACATTTATAAAATGCTATTAATTTTTTTCTGCTGATAAGATTTTTTCTCATCAAAGTATTCAAGATGTTTAATCTAACAAAAATAACAAGTTAAAAATAATGTTGTTGATATGCAAATATGTTTGATATCATACAATTATTTCATAACGTAATACAGGCATAAACTTAGTAATCAGTATACATGCGCGTATATAGATAAATGCGCATATGCACAATATAGATAAGTTCAGAATATTGGTTTATTTATTAAATATATCATAAACTTTTATTTTTATTTAAGTTAAATTCGATTTTCTTTTTTTAAAAAAAAATAGTAACAATTTTTAATGTATTGAGTCATCGGCATTATTTTAACTTTGTTTTTTACTGGATCAAGTGCGACTATGACTGTGATTGCAATTCAAACAATACCCCCCTTCCTTTTTTTTTCCATGGTTTTTTTCAATGCTTCTATTTTAAACAATACTTTCTCTTTTTTTTCAATGATTCTATTTTGGTATCGAACTCCTAAAGTATTCTGACGTTCTGCTATTTTTTTATTTTTTTATTATTTGGGTATAAAAAGAAATAAATGCCAACTTCTAAATAATCTTCGTTTAAAAGATTGTTTTATTTGTCGTTGCAAAGAGAGAAACCGTCTGAAATTATTAAAAATAAATTGCAGTATGTTTAAATTTTTTTTTTTTTTTAATTTTAACAAAATTATTTGATTCATCTAATATTGTGGGACACTCCACACAGAGTGTGCAAAAATACAAAAAAATCATTGTCATCATTACATGGTTGACTATAATAACCATGTAAAGTTGACAATGATTTAACGGTATTATACTAACTTTTTTCAAAAGACTTGCCTTGAATAATTCCACAAGACTGACTAATTAAAAAAAACTATTTTTTTTTTGTTGAAACTATTAATATTTTATAAATTTACAAGTTTTATGCCAACTAGAGTAACAATAACATAAATATCTTTTGTTTGTTAAATTAAAATCACGTAACTTTATACACCTTTTTTGTTAGGTCAGGTATATTTCATCAACATTTGATATATTTTTTGCATATCTACATTTGATGTATCTTCTGCATATCTACATTTGATATATTTTCTGCATATCTACATTTTTTTTTGCTTCGGATTCTGTCTAAATTAAAAAAATTTTGATAGCTATTAATGTAATTTTGCTATTAAATTTCAATACTAATTTACTCTTCATTAATAAATGTTTTAATAAATTTAAAAAAAAAACAAAAAAAAAAATACTATCATTGAAAATATCATACAAACTACTTGTGGGTGACAAAATTCTTCCTGCAAATCTAAGCCATCCAACCTCAGGTTCTTGACATATTGATTTTGCAAAGCCACATTTTTGCATAGTCCAGCGAGACTAACAAAAATATGTTGATTATCTGCATAAATTTGCTCTAGAGTAAATTATAAATATATAAAGTAAATAAAATATTTTTACTGATTTTTAATCACCAAATTAGAGATAGGTAGTTTGTATTATTTTCTTCATTGAAAGCAACAATTGAATGCAACATCTTATAAGACGTTGTGTGCAATTGTTGCTTTCGATGAAAAAAATTTTATTATACAGTATACTCTGTAATAAACTATAAATAAAAATATAGACAAAATTTCCTTTAAATAGGTATAAAATTTATTGAAATGCTCTTCTAGTTTGTCAGAACTAAAGGCAATGGCGCTAGTGAAATTATAGCCCGTGGCGGGAAAAAAAAAGTGGACGGCTGTTTGTGTGTATTGTATGCAGTGTTTGGAAGAACGTATTCCGAAAGGAACGGATTCCTGAAATTAGTTCTTCTTTTGAGGAACGAAGCTAGGAGCTGGTTCCTTTTATAATAAAGGAACGAGGAAAGAGAACGAATTCTTTTTTTTGGAGGAACGTGAACGAAAAGTAATAATTCCTTAAAACTTTTTAAATTTGGATTTCACTAAAGTTGTTTTTACGGTTCAAAAGCAAAAAGCGTTGTATTTAGATTAAATCAAATCTAAGTTTGATTTCAGTTAGCCAAAGCCTTAACTCTACAGCTTGTGAAATCGAGTCCTCTTTGCGTATAAAAACCGGTACATCTAAAGAAGACTTTTTTTGTTTACCTGTGAAAAGCAAATTAAAAATAAGCTCTGGTGTTGAGGAGTTGGAGTTATATTTAAAATTACAATTGAAAGAATTAAATATGTTATTGTTATACCCATCAGTATTGTAAGTCTTTTAGAACTTAACACATCTCTTCCATCGAGTGCTCTAATTGAACGGCTATTTTCGACAAGGTCTAATGTGATGACTGAAAAAAGACATAAATTGAGTGATTTTCTATTTGAAAAATTAGTTTTGCTAAAAAAAAAAATAAAGTTGGTGTTTAAAGTTTTATTTGTCTTTATATTTTTTACTTATTTTTAAAAAAAAAACCTTTTTCAGTAAGATTTTTATACTTTATACGTTTTGTACTGAGCTGAAATTAATATCTCATTTATATCTGTATAAAGTACATGCTGATGCAGACTAGGCCAGCAGGATACCAGAAATGTTTAAAAGCTATTTAAAATAAATAACTAAATAAAACACGTTAAAAAAGCATTGCTCGTCAAGCAAAGCAATAAATTACTATTACAAATTTCAAAATATATATTAAAAAAAGGAAAGAAATGGAAGCGAGTTCTCTTTTTTGAGGAATGTCGAGTTCCTTTTTTCACTAAAGAACAAGGAACTGGAACTAGTTCTTATTTTACAAAATGAACGGGGAACGGAACGCGACCCTTTAAAAGAGGAACTTTCCAATCACTGATTATATGTAGAAAACATATTTACTTGTAATATTTAAATGCTTAGCTACCCTTAATTACCTCAGAAGGTGAAACGCAATCATTTAGATTGTTAATTTTTTAAAATGCCTTTTTTGCACTATTAATAAGATTATGAATTTTTCTTTTGTAAATAGCAAACAGACATAGCTGCCGAAATCAGAGCATAGGTTTTACGAAGGGTAATACTATTTAAAAATTTAATTAAATAAAATTGATTAAATAAGTAACTTTTCTAAAACTAATATAATAGTATTTTTTTAAATATTTTTATGTCGATCTTTTTTTTAACAGTTTTGTAAGTCGATTAAGCATGTTTTCTTAAAAATTTAGGTGAACAGACATTTGGAACAAAAACTACCAAATAGTAGGCTTCATCTTTTGACTTTTTGTAGACTTTACTATTGATTTGGGGCATTAAAAAAAAAAGTAATTTAGATTATTATTTTTCTTATTAATAGATTTAAATTTATTTGAAAATAGAGTTTTAGTTTGTAGTCATGTTCATATAAAGTTCACCGCCCTCTCACCACAATGAGATTAAAAACTTTACATGATAATTATTTAAAACCTTTAATATTTTGATGAAATTTTAAATCTATCGGTAAATTTATACAAATAAAAAAAAGTTTAGTTTTTTTATTTTAAAAAACTAGTAGGGTAAGGTGGGGCAAGAAGCCCACCATAAGCAATTTTGTCTTTTTTTTACTGATCCAATAAACGTATCTAGAAATTTATGTTCTCATTATTTCAAATACATAATAAACTTAAGTATCTAAAGTTATTTTCTTAATGGCTACTCAAGTTTTAATGGAAATATGCTTTTTATAAACTGCTATAGAGTGGGTCTTTTGCCCCATTGCTGAGGCAAAACGCCCCTACCCTGGGCCTTTTACCCTAAATGTTAATAGCTTGAAATATTCCTTTTTTACAATAAAAATTTATTGCAACAATACACTTTTTTACTAGTCACAATATATTTGTGTGTAAAAATGTCCAACAAAAGTTTTAGTAGAACACTTAGCACCATAATATTAGCAAGTAGCACCATATATGCTATCATATGACAATGGCAAACAGCACCGTAAAATTAATAGAGCTAAAAAGAGCTAAAAATTTATAGACTAAAAAGATAGCTATAAAAACTAATTTATAGAGCTGAAAAACACAGCTAAAAGCTAATTCATAGAGCTAAAAAGATATCTAAAAAAATAATTCATAACCCAAAAAGACAGCAAAAAAACTAATTCATACAGCTAAAAAACTACAGTAAGACTAGTTGAATTGATTATGCCTATTGGCAGTGAAAGCAGACAGCAGTGTCATCAGGACCACAGCCGTCGTGGTACCAGTTGAGACATTCTGGGCATTGCTGCCAGTCATCAATGGGTGGTTCGTTAAATTTTTTACCACACATGCAACATGGCGTATCATCACTGTTAGTAACAGAACCTACACATCTTCGTTCTTTTGACCCTTTTCTTATCACGTTAGCATTCGATGCATTACTTTTGATTGTGCTTTTTGATTTTGTTCTCGGATATTGCTTCCTTTTCCCGGTTTCTTTGTCATCTCCACTTTTCGTTCTCTTGGATTTGACTGCGGTTACATCGATTTCGTCTTCATCATTTTCCTCATTATTATTTTCAACTACTACTTGCTTTGTCTTCTTTGCATTTGCTTCAATTAACATTGCTTTATAAGGACTAGAAGTTATTACAGTTGCTGCTTCGGTTTTTCGTTTGCGACTGCGTACATTCTTTATCCTTGGAATAGTTCTTAGGCTTAGTTCTGATATAATCTGCAATGCTTGGGATAAACCAGGATGATCAGCTGTTTTATCTAGTTGATTTTCATCGGACTCATTGCTATCTCCTGTTGCAATCCTATCAGTCTCCATCACATTAACCGATGCTTCATCATCCACCGCATTGCCGGCTTCTTCATTTGTATTCGTAGGTTCACTTGTTTCGTTTCTAGCTAATAATGCTCTTTCCATCATTTGGATGTGTTTAACAAGATCTTGTTCAATTTCAATAGAAAAAGTATTCACATTATTTCCTAATTTATTGCTCCCAACTTGTCTTACTTTGCCCTGCAAATGCCTTCTCAATGTCTTCCTTGAAACTCCAAAACTGTTTTCAGCTTTATGCAAAGACATACCATTTTTTACTGAATCTAAAGCCTGTTGTAAACCTTCTGCTCCATAACTTCCTCTTTTTGTCTTCCTTTTGTA